TTGTTGTGTGCCTTCTAGTCATTTGTATGTCAGTAAAAGTATTGGTAGGTCCAGGCATGTACGAGATAATTTAAGATCTTTTCCCTCACTAAAAAGTAATCCATTCTGCTTTTGCTGAAGAATACATGTGCCACATATTGTAAATACCACCTGTTTCTTAAGTTTTCAACAATAAGTGCTGTATTTATTAAATGCTTTTGCTCATCTTAACTGGAGTAGAATGCCATCTGTATATCATTATGAAACAGTTTCCTGTAATATCTATGTTGATAGCCTGTGATCATTAAATATTTCCATATGTGAATGTTGATATATACATCTTGTGCCAAAAACATTGCACAATAATTTACTTGTTCTAATTCTGCTTCATAGTAAAGCTATATATATATGTAATCCTCCATGCATTTTGTAAATGTATTGTATCTCTTAATGTATGTTTTCACATAAATACCAACAATGTTGTTCTAATTTGAATGTAGTCAAACTGAAGCAACTTTCCCCTTTAAAATTTATTTTGATGTAATATGAATATAATGCTCATAATTGTGATAGTAAATCCTTAATTTCAGAAATGCACTTCCCCCCTCACCTTAAACTTTCTGAGGTTTCAGTTAAAATGAAACTCAGGGACCATTCACACTACATTATAAACCAGTTTGCAAACCAGTTTAAAAGGGGTCGTTCACACTTGCATCGGTTTTTCCCAACCTGAATTCAGCCCCCCCCCGTGCAATTCTCCCTTAACCTGGTGCTTTTGAAATCAAGGCATTTTCCATGTCTTTTCAAAAGAACCAGGGTTTTTTTTAGGAGCCGCAAATGGCAACTTGCTGTCGATTCAATTTGGAGCACAAGAGGGAGGGATAAATGTGCAGGGGGCAGATCTTTGCTCTCTCCCTGCCAGACAAAGCCAAAACCAGGGAAGGGGTTCTCATGGGAACATCATTAGACAGTGTACTTTAAAAAAATTTTGAACAGCTTATGCACATCTTTGCTTTTGCATGGCTGCAGTAGACAATACCTTTAAATACTCCTGTCATCAATATGACAAAAAAAAAAAAAAAGACAAACGTGCACATGATTTGATTGACATTAAAAAAAAAAACACCTATCAGTGGGGGTGGGGGTTAGGGGTTGTTTTTCCCCTCTTTCCTCAGAAATAAAACCTCAACAGACTCTGCTTCCAAGTTGGTGCAAACAAAGCTCCT